TGGTGGGGGGGCGCGGGGGGTGAGGTGGGGGCAGAGGGGGTGGTGTGGGGGCACAGGGGGTGGTGTGGGGGCACAGGGGGCACCCCTGGCGGGGTGGGGACAGGCAGGGCACGCCGTGGGTGCAGAGCGTGGCCGTGCCCAGGGGACACCCTGATCGATGGTGACGAGCACTACTGGGAGGTGCGCTACGACCGCGACAGCAAAGCCTTCGGCGTGGGCGTGGCCTACCGCAGCCTGGGCAAGTTCGACCAGCTGGGCAAGACCTCGGCGTCCTGGTGCCTGCACCTCAACAACTGGCTGCAGGTCAGCTTCAGCGCCAAGCACAACAACAAGGCCAAGGCGCTCGACGTGCCCGTGCCCGACTGCATCGGCGTCCACTGCAACTTCCACGAAGGTGGGGCTGGGCTGGGGCTGGCACCGGCACCTCCGTGGGCATTGTCACCTCCGTGGGCATTGTCACCTCCATGGGCATTGTCACCTCCGTGGGCATTGTCACCTCCATGGCCATTGTCACCTCTGTGGGCATTGTCACCACCATGGGCGCTGTGCTGGGCTCTGACCGCCCTGTGCCCACCTGTGTCCCCATTCCCACCTGTACCCCCATTCCCACCTGTGTCCCCATTCCCACCTGTGTCCCCATTCCCACCTGTACCCCCATTCCCACCTGTGTCCCCATTCCCACCTGTACCCCATTCCCACCTGTGTCCCCATTCCCACAGGTTTCCTGTCCTTCTACAACGCCCGGACCAAGCAGCTGCTCCACACCTTCAAGGCCAAGTTCTCGCAGCCGGTGCTGCCGGCCTTCATGGTGAGGTGGGGCAGGGCTGGGGGCTCCGGGGGGCTGCCAGCGCCGGGTTCAGCCCCCTGAGCCCCCTCTGTGTCCCCAGGTGTGGTGTGGCAGCTTCCAGGTGACGTCGGGCCTGCAGGTGCCGAGCGCCGTGCGGTGCCTGCAGAAGCGCAACAGCACGGCCAGCAGCTCCAGCCTGCCCTGAGCGGGCACAGCACTGAATGTACCCCCTGCCCACCCCCTGCCCCCGCAGGGCCCTGCCAGCCCCGGGCCACCCACGGCCCCCACTCCGTGCCCCCCGTGCCGCCGGGGCGCCCCCAGCACCGAGAGCTGCTTCTGGCCTGGAGAATAAATTGGGATGTAGGTGTGACGTGGCCGTGGATGGGGGAGTTTGGGGTCCCTGTGACACCCCCACAGTGCCAGGAGCGGGAAGGGGCTGGGTGGGCACAGGGTCCTTTACTCACAGTGCCCCCCCAAACACCAGGGTTTCCCCCTCCCCGGTGTCACCCCGGGCCAGGGGACGCCCCAGAGTGTCCCCATCAGTCCTTGGGGTGCGCCTGGCGCAGCTGCAGCTTCCTGAGCAGCTCCTGGTTCCTCCCTGTGCCACCGGGGGCTGTGAGCGCCCGGCAGAGAATCCCCCCCGCCCCCCGGGACCCCCCGCTCCTCCCCGTTGTCCCCCGAGCCGGTGGCAGGACCCAGCGTCCCCGTGTCGCACCCTCGCTGTGCTCGGGGGTGACGGCGGGGCCGGGCTCGGTGCCGGGGGTGTCCCCGCCCCCCCCCGGTTCCCGCAGTCCCGAGCGGCCTCACCGGGGTCGTTCATGCAGATCTGCTCCCCCCCAGTCCGGGGGGTCCCGCCCCCTTGGCCGCTGCCCTTTGGGGCGCCCCAGTCCCTTGGGGTCGCGGTTCCCAGGGGTCCCAAACCCGCGAGGTCCCCTGTCCCTTCTCTGGGGGGTCCCGGTTCCTTGAGCCCCCGCCCTGTGGGGACCCCGGCCCCTCGGTCCCACCCTTGGGTGGTCCCGGGATTCCCGGGGACAAGGAACCGGGAAACGGCACCGGGAACGGGGAACCGGCACCGGGAACGGGGAAACGGCACCGGGAACGGGAAACAGCACTGGGAGACGGGAAACAGCACTGGGAACGGGGGACCGGCACCGGGGACAGGGAAACGGCACCGGGAGCCGGCACTGGCACCGGCGGGGAACAAGGAACCGGCCCGGGCGGCGGAGGGGACGCGGGGAGTGCCGGGGGGGACCGTGCCTGGGAGTGCCGGGAGCGGTCCCGGGAATCGGCCCTGGGTACCCGAGAGTCGCTCTTTGCGCTCGGACCCGGGGAGTCCCGGGTGTCGGTCCCGGGGGTGCCGGTGTCGGTTCCGAGAGTGCCGGTGTCGGTTCCGGGAGTGCCGGTGTCAGTCCCGGCCGTGTCGCCCACCTGATCCCGCGGCCCCCGCTTGTCCACGAACCCCTCGTTGTAGCACCGGGCCCGGGGCCGGGTCCCCCGGGGCAGCGGCACCGGCCGCTCCATCTCCGCCACCGCTCAGGAGCCGCCGCAGTTCCCGGCACCGGCCCCGCCCGGACCGGGGCGAGGGGGGCGAACGGGTGTCCCGGCCGGGCCGGAGCATCCCCGGTGCGGGGCTGAGCCCCCGTGTCCGTCCCTGCGGACACAGCAGGTGCGGGGCTGCGCTCCCGTTCCCCCTCCCTGTGCCGGTGCTCCCCGTGCCCCTTCCCGGGGGGCGGGGGTCCCACCGGGCGGGGTCCATGTCCCGGTCGGGGCTGAGCCCCCGTGTCCCCCCCGCCCGGTGCGGCAGGTGCGGGGCTGCCCCCCCCCCGGTGCCGGTGTCCCCGCACCCCCCCGGGCGGGGCGGGGCGCCCGGGGCCGCCCCATCACGTGTCGCCGCCGCCGCCGCGCGCACCGGGGGGAGGCGGGAGCGGCGGGAGCGGCGGGAGCGGAGCATGGCAGGTACCGGGGGGCGGGGGCGCACCGAGCTCCGGGAACCGGGAACCGGGAACTGGGACCAGGGAACCGGGAACTGGGAACTGGGAACTGGGAACCGGGAACCGGGAATCGGACACGCACCGGGCACGCTCCGGGATCGCGCGCACACCGGGCACGCAGCGGGCACGCGCACACCGGGCACGCACCGGGCACGCGGTACCGGACACGCACCGGGAGCGCACCGGGAACCGGACACGCGCGCACGGACGCGCGCCCCGGCCGGGGACACGCACCGGTCACCGCCCCCCCCGCACACACCCAGGGCACGCGCGTGCACCTGCCCGAGCCCCCCGGGACCGCGCTGGGGACACCCCGGGACATCCCGGGACACCCCT